TTGACCCAGTGATTCCACTTCTGGGAACATATATTAAGAATCCTGAAACACTAATTTGAAAGAATAGATGCACCCCTATGTTCATAGCCTCATTACTTACAATAACCAAGGCTTGGAAACAGCCCAAGTGCCCATCAGTAGATGAGTGGATAAAAAAGCTGTGGGACATTTACACCATGGAATACTACTAGGCGGTAAAAAAGAAGGAAATCTTACCATTTGCGACAGCATGGTTGGACTTAGAGAACATTATTCTAAGTGAAATAAGCCAGTCAGAGAAAGACAAGTACCATATGATCTCACTTATATGTGGAATCTAATGAACCAAATAGTTTAACAAACAAAATAGAAAGAGAAGCATAGATACGTAAAACAGACTGAAATCTGTCCAAGGGGAGGTGGGTTGGGGGTCTGTGTGAAAAAAAGCTGAAGGGATACACACACACACACACACACACACACACACACACACACACACACACACACACACACACACATAGACACAGACAACAGTATTATGACAGCCAGAGGGAAAAAAGGGTGGGGGTAGGCAAAAGGAGTACAAATGGGGAGGGAAAGAGACTTTACTTTGGGTGATGGTTTAACAACGCAGTATGCAGATGATGTTTTGTTGAGTTGGACATGTGAAATCTGTATGGTTTTGTAAACCAATGTCACCCAAATAAACTCAATTAAAAAAAATCTCCCAGCCCGGCCGGGCGTGGCTCAGCGGTTGAGCGTCGACCTGGGATCCGGGAGATCAGGGTTCAATTCCCGGTTGGGGCACATGCCCGGGTTGAGGGCTCGATCAATGACTCTCTCATCATTGATGTTTCTATCTCTCTCTCTCCCCCTCCTTTCCTCTTTCTGAAATCAATAAAGATATATTTTTTTAAAAAATAAAAATCTCCCAGTGAAGAAAATCTCAGGACTGATGACTTTACATGTGAATTTTACCTAACAGTTAAGGAAGAATTAATGGTATCCTTTTTAAAGTCTCCTCAAAAAATCAACAGAGTGAATACTCCTGAACTCATTTTAGTAGGCCAAAATTACCCTGATACCAAAGCTAGGAAAAGACTCTACCAGAAAAGAAAACTACATGTCAATAGCCCTGATAAGCACAGATGCAAATGCCCTTTACAAAACAATAGCAAACTGAATTCAATAGCACATTAAAAAGATCAGTCACCATGATCAACTGGGATTTTCACCTGGATGCAAGGATGATTCAATATATACAAGTCAACCAATGTGATAAGTTTCATTAACAAAATAAAAGAAAAAATCATATCTTGAAATATGCAAAAAAAACATTTGACAAAACTCAATAATCATTCGTGATAAAAATTCTTTTAAAATTAGGTATAGAAGGAAGGTTGGATTAACTGAGATGTAATGTCACCAAGATGGCAAAATAGGACATTCCTGACTTCACTCTTCTTCACAAGAAAAACTAACAACTATTCAAGGACAAGACACCACCGAGAGAACCCTAGAACATGGAGGTGAGGCTAAAGCAAACTCCTGCACCACAGGAGCAAGACTACATTAGAAAGGTAAAAGAAGGGGCTACCCGTTGCCTGTATTGTTCTTCCCCCAGACTAGAGCACCACCATGCATGAGGTCACCCCTGAGCCATAGGCTCCTCCAGGAGAAACAATCAGCACCCCCACTTGGTACTAATTCATTTTTTCAAGCCACTACTCTGATCTTGCCCCATGGGTATTGCAGGGTAATCTGGGAAATTCAACTACTTCAAACATGTGATGGAGAGAGGGGGAGGGGCTTGAAACAACCAGCACTTGGGCCTCAGCAGACCAAGAGCATACCTCCAATGCCCAAGTAGTAATCACAACCAAGGGCTTTGTTCATCTGGAGAACAAAGCTATGCGCAAGTTCTGACCAGAGAACTTGGCAGGGTGCAAATGTGCCTGACTGAATCCTCAAATGGGAAATTTTGCTGGCCCTAGAGCCCAATTTGCTAATGCCCAGACAAGGAACAAATTCACAGCCCCACCCATTCTGGAGGGTGACTTAAGGCCCTATTGGAGCAGAGTACAGGTGACAACTCCTAGGAGCTGTGTGGTGTGGGGCACTCCACACAGAGTGCAGCACCCCAGCCCAGAGTCAAGAGGGCAGAACTGACCATCCCCAGAGGAAAGCTAGCACCAGGCATGGATGGCTCCCTTATCATGCACAGGCAAGGGTATTAAATCATAGCCAAGGCTGAGGGTAACTCCTAGCCCCTCCCAACAAGAAAGTCTGTTTGGAAAATTGAGAGTAAGCTTTAGTGGCCCCTCACTCTTTCACCTAGGCAAGGGAGCTAAGACTTAGTACCACCTGTAGCTGAGAGTATCTTCTGGCCCCATCTGACCAAAAGAGCTGTTGACAATTTCTGGAAGCTGTGCAGCCCACAAGTACTGGAGCCTAGAGGAGGCAAGTAGAGTCAATAGTTTGCAAACCAAAGCCAGGGACCTGTTTGGCCAGGTAACTCAGGGTGCAGGTTGGCTTTATTAAGACAACAAAGAGCTGTACCAGCTTTAGAGATGCTCCTCGCACTGTGCCAGGCACAGAATCTAATGTGCAGCCTCACACATTACTGAATACAGACTTCAGCCTGTCCAACCAGAGAAGCTAACCATAGCACACAGGAAGCTGTGTGGCCCATTCACAGTCTGTGACTACCCCCACCTGAAAAGCAAACCCAGTGGCCTCACCTGACCATGGAATTCGGTGTATACTCTGGCCTGATTCAGTTACCCAAACAATGAGTTATACAGATCTTGAGTTCCATCCTGCTGCCCTGTCAGGGCAGGGAAACTAATTCATTTCTCTATCTATAGTTGAATGTAATACCCAGTCCTGAGCATCTACTAAGAGTAACCAGAGAATCCAGGTAACCACAGAGCCAATCCTATATCCTCACTTCTGTGCAAAACCAAATCAGCAGTCTAATCCAATTGTTCTCAGCCAGAGGCAGAACCCCCATCCCTATCCTCAGAGCTTGAAAAGTATCCTTACCTAAAAACAGACCATAATAGCAGCCCCACCTGCTGAAGGATATACCCAGAAAACAAAACTGAGCTGGCCGGTAAAGTTCTGTCTCCATCCGATTACTCAAATGCACAGATACCAGTGTAAAAAAGCAAGGATAACAAAAAATCAGGTGACACCACTAATGGAAACAAATAAAGCTCTAATAACTGACCTAAAGAATTGGAGACCAATAAACTGTCAGGCAAAAAATCCAGAATAATCGTCTTAAGGAAGCTCTGTGAACTACAAGAAAACACCAAACAGATAAATAAACAAAATTAGGAAAATAATACATGAACAAAATGAGAAGTTCAACAAAGAAAGAGCAACCATCAAAAACCCCCAGAAATTCTAGCCCTGGCTGGTTTTTGCTTAGTGGTTAGAGCATTGGCCCATGGACTAAAGGGGCTTGGGTTCGATTCTGGTCAAGGGCATGTATCGAGGTTGCAGGCTCCATCCCCGGCCCTGGTTGGAGGGAGTGCGGGAGGCAACCAATTGATGTGTCTCGCTGACATCAACGTTTTGTTTCTCCCCCCACTGCCCCGCCATTCTCTCTGAAAAGCAATGGAAAAAATATCCTCAGGTGAAGATTAAAACAAACAAACCCCAGAAATTCTAAATAAAAAAATACAATAATCAAACTGAAGAATTCAATAGAGAGTTTCAAAAGTAGACTCAACCATGCAGAAGAAAGAATCAGTGACCTGAACATTAGAAATTACCCAGTCAGAGTAGCATAAAAAAAAAAAAAAAAAAAAAAAG